ACATCCTCAGACTTAAACAGCAGATATATATTTTCATGTATAATAAAGACCCAATTTACACTGTGAAAATGTGTAAAATATTATTTGGAAAATGTTTTTATTACGCTTACATTACTATGTTTTCTATTCTACTCACTGTAGTATTGAACTGTTAGATGTATTATTCATCTAATAAAATGTTTTACCTATTTTAATATTTTTTTTAGATTCATCTTATATGTTTTACCTGCACGACATAATGTCATACAAGGATGACATTCACACATAGAGATTATATTAGCTGCTTTGCTAAATGGTGAGAAGTCAGAGTTTTCTGAACCCCTTTTTTTCAGCGCTATTGTATACTAAATACCAAGCGGAAATTACTTCCGCAATAAAAAAAAGTCGTATTTTCGTTGAACTGTAAGAAGGGGTAAACACAGGCATTGGCTTATTAACTAGCCTGACAGAGGACATTAATGTAGCTGTCAACCCAAGCTTATGCGTCAACAAGTAACTTAGTAGGGTAAAGTGGCACTTTATTTACTTCAGTATTCTACTGTAACAAATGGAAGGGGACTCCTATAAGGTTCTAACTTAAACTTAAACATGACAAAAACAACAACTAAACAGCAATATCAGAGATTTAAAGCGCTAATGCTAATTATCCCCGACAGGTTGTTACCTCAGATAACGTAAATACTCAACAACACATTCCAAAACGCTGAAAGAAAACACGCACTTCTCTTCTAAATACAACTCACTGGACGTTTCAAAACAGTTAACAAGTGAGAATAAAGTTATTTTAGCAAGAACAATGTAACTTACTGAGTTTAAACAGTTGAAAGGGAGTGCTGCGGCGGGTCTCTGAAGCCTCTGAGTCGCGCGCATCAGCTGACCAGAACGAGGCAGAGCGAACGTGACGTCACGAACGGCCCAGTCCTGGTCACGTGATCGAGGTTACCTGGGCAGGGTGGTTCCGAGAGCAGTGAAGGTGGAAAGGGGAATGTATCTGTTTGTTAACTGATGCTTTCCGCGTTTATTTCTTTATTTAGCATGTTTCTTATTATATCGATAAACATGAGCTATTATTCTGACAGCCTCTGTTGAATTGTAAATGAAATATTGTCCCATAGTGCTAGTGAGTAAGACCTTCCAAAAGTTTAAAAGGTAATTTTTCTCTCATTTTTTTCACTGTTCCTCACTGGTTTGCTTTTTGTATGATGGTGGTTACCTTGGTGTTAGACCACTTCCTGTGGTCTCACTGTCATTGACCATATTTTGTGCCTTTGATCCTCCAGGACTAGGTTTTTTTTCCCCCCTACACATTTTTTTTTTTTACTTCTGAGCCTTACATTGCTAGCAGATTAAAATTACACTTGATGTAACCATCTTCTACCTCATACAGCCTGGTGCCTTTTTACCTTTTTAATTCAAAAGTGACCAATGTAAAATTTTCAGCAGCAGAGAATCACAAACAGTGGGTTGAAATTGAGAGCTCAAATGCCAAGAGGTCACTGTGTGTAGAATATGTCACTGCCTCTTTAATGAGGGAAGAGCTACACAGAGGACTATTGGTGAATTAGCACTAGTGTGAAAATTTAGAATCACAAGGTTGAGGGGACTATTCCAAAGTGCTGTGAGCTAACAAAGCACAAATCAGACAGCTCAGAGCATTCAACCCAGTAAATGGCCCGTGACAAATATGGCCCATGGAGGCTAACTAATTAAGGGATGTTATCGATTTTAAACAAGGTTAACTCAGGTAATGTCAATGGAAAAAAGTGGCCCAATTTACCTGGACTCACCCTAAGTGAATAACAATTATATTAAATGACAGAAAAGATGTCCTGTTTTTCTGACTGTATCATTAAAGTAGTAATGACATGAATAAAAGAAATAAACGACACTGTGTCATCATTTACTTGCTATCATGTCGTTTCAAACCGTTCTTTCGTGCTTACAGCACAACAGGAAAAATAAAATAATACAATATAAGTTTTTTAATTCATCTGTTTATCTGGAAAAACAATATGATTCATGAATTTAGAATGATATGGTTTTCATCTTCATTTCACTGATTCTGTCGCAACAGTTCCTGGGTTATCAGCCTACATTTCTGTCTGTTTCTCATCCAAAGCAATCATATGGCCCCAGAATACATATACGGTATATACAGTAAATAGATGTATATAGCTCACAAGTAGTCAAGTCAGGTTTTTTCTATCTTACAAGTGCACATTTATGGGTTACAGTTGATTTCATAGTAGTCCTGATCCTCCTCAACATGTAACTTGAGGCCTCAAGTGTGTTTGTTAGTGCAGGACAGGCTATGAATAGTGACATCTGTTGGTTGCAAAAATTACTCTCATTCTCAGCTCAAAAACGAACAGCGTTCACCTAAATGGAAGACTGATTATGGTTTATATTTAGAGCATTGAGAGCTTATGGGAGAGCTATATGGAAATTGCTCTTTTTTTAAACAAGTGTCAGTAGATATGCAGCATGTCTGTGTATTCTTAGGTCATGCATTGGTGTGTTTGATAGTGTGTTTATCGCATATTATAGTCTTATTATGTAGGCTGGTAACATCAACAGGCTGCAGCCTATTTATGGTTCGAGTGCGCATGCCCATGTACCTCTAACAGGTAACGCACTCCCTCTAGAGGCTAGCAATGGCATATGCAGTATACCCTCAAACCACCAGGAAGCACTACAGAACTACACATTAGCACAGGTAAAAAAACTACAACTTTAACCGATCTGAGGACGGCTGTGAAAATGAAAAGATGTTTTAAATACTGTTTGGTTATCATTAATAACTGCACATAGGACTATTAATATTTTGTAAGAATAAACCACTTTTACTAACAGTACCTTAAAAGGAGGACACTTGAGTTCTGGTTTGATGTTATGAAATATCTCATTGGCCTAGAACAAGATACAAATTTAACTGTGAAGCCTCAAAGTATTTTATTCTTAGATAGAGCCAGGAATATTAAACTCATCAGATATTTCCCAAGATACCAGGCTATTAATGTGAAATTTTGAAAGTCCATTAAAAAAGACATACCGAGAGAGAGAGAGAGAGAGAGAGAGAGAGAGACAGAGAGAGCGGAAAACACATAGGCCTACACCTGTGAAATGAACCATGCAAAAAAACATTTGAGCCATGAACCAGGTTTCCTGTCAGTGAGGTTTTTCACAAGTCATATTTCACTAAACTGACACTGAGATGATTTTATCTTTGAATTATAGACAGATATAATTTCCCTAACTGCCAAAAGTTCTACTCTCTTGCCAACTTTTTTGCCTGTTTTATGTTTTCTTATGTGTTATGATTATGAAGGGTTTTATTGCTTTTTTTACAGTTATAAATTCCTTTTCATGAACAAAATGTGAACATGCCATTGACTTATCTTATAAATAAGCAATAATATAAACACAAAAAAGGCTGAAGAAGGTTAAAACAGCTCAAGAAACGTCAGAGGAACTTATGTGAGCATGTGCTGCGGTGTTTATTTGTTCAGTATGAAGGCCCCAGGAAGCATAATAACACTCGGAAGTAGACCCAACAAGGGTTGAAAAATACCTTCCACTGTTTTGTAGGGCTAAACACTAATATTTTTAGTTGCACGGCTTTGTGAGAGAGGGAGTCAATGTGCTGTCCCACAAGAGACCACATGGACTTCTTATTGCAGAAGCCTCTGGTTTCATAACATTACCTCGGGCTCTTTGACCTAATTTGATGGTTCCCATGTAACAGAAGCATGAGATACCACCTGTTTGTTATGGTAAAGCTGCCTATCAGTCTCCCAGAATCTCAGTATCTGTCTCATACATTCTTAGTATAGAAGCCCATTTCTGCCACAGAATAAAAAAAAATAAAAAAAGGTAATTGCAACTTTATCTCAATTCAATTCTGCCTGTTTTCTGGCAATTGTGAGTTTATATCTCACAATTCTGGCTTTTCTTCTCGGAATTGTGTGTTATAAAAAAAAAAGTCAGAATTGTGAGCTAAAAACCTTTTTTTTTTATTTAATTTAATTTAATTTAATTTTATTTTATTTTATTTTATCCTGTGGTGGAAACAAGCTTCCATATCTTAGTTTCATAGCCAACACAATCATGGAAATTTCTAACATGTTTTACATATTGTAACATATTTTACATATTTTTTTTATTTGTCTAATTGGTGGCTTACTCATATGAATTTGTACAATCTCATTTGGATGTTTTCAACACAATCTCAGGGAAAACCTTAAATATTTTACGAGTTGACAGTTTTGTATGAATACGTACAATGTAAAAGAAAAATGTAGAAAAAAAAATCAGCATGGAGGCTCGCCCCTAATCCTTCCCCTACAACAGTCACTGGGGCATTTGTACGAAAGCGTACAAATTCATATGAATTATTAGCCACTAATTTGCCAAAATGTATGGTTATGTTTAAGGGTGGACCATCATGCTTACTTTTTTCCCAAAAAATTTTACATTTTTAAACAGTTCACATCGTATGAATTCATATGAAATCACCACCTCATACAATAGTTAGGGTTTCCTGTGAGATTGGGTTGTCATAATTAGATTTTCTCTATTGCCTTCATTTAGGATTCTTAATATCTGTTATTCCTTTCACCTCCTTATGTACTCTGAATATCTAGACAATATGAATCTAGTTAGAGAGCAAGACTGCTGAAACGGGGGAGGCCAAATAAAGTAAAAATTTTCATTTTTGCTGTTTAATAAATTGTTTTGTGTTACATAATCGTTTTACACTTTTCCCTGATACCACACATATATCATGAAGACGTCTAGTTGACATTTACATCTGCAAGACGCATTTGTGTTTGCTCATCTGCAATACGTCTATAGGACATTTCCTATCAGATGTCAAATAGACATTTAGAAAACGTCTTTAGGATGTTTATTATTTAGAATGTATGTAAAACTGACATCTTAGAGACGTCTATCAGATGTTTGTACACAGCAGATACTTTAAAGATTAAGCGATCTTTAATAGACATCTTGCAGACATACGTGTGCTATCTGGGTTATACTGTAAGCCTATAATATGCTGTTTAATGACAGGTTCCACAGTGACAGCATGACCCAATATTAAAAAGTCTATTACATTCAGCTACATTACATTCATCAACTGAATTGTACATACTGTTCTTCTACATCTTTATGACTGACAGGCCAAGAGAGAGAGTACGCATTTGAGAAGATGTGCTTCCTTCTCACATTCCTTGCTCGAAGGCTTAGAATTCCATTGATCTGTTTTTCAAACTTTGTTGTGATTTAGTACTCACTGGAGATGAGTTTAGTCTGAGCGCTGTATCCTCCTTCACCTTAGGTCACTCATATTTCAACAGAACCACCACTAGAATATGTCCTCATTTAACTGAAAGGACTGATCAACTGAAGAAGACAAGATAATACTTTCATTTATGGACACACACATCTAAAGCACATACACACACACTCACAGGAATTTTCTGGTGATTGTCATGTGTTTTCTGTGGGCTGGAACTCAGATGATCACCCTTCTGATGAAGCAGTATTGGATCCTACTGGCTCACTTTCTAGAGCTATAAATAAATAAACCCCATTAATGTGAAATTCTCCAGCAAACAGATGGCATGAGAGCATGCAAGAAGGTTTGTTTTCCCCTCATTCACGTGTCTATAGCTGCGACCTGTTTAGTCTCTAGTATGCAAATATTGATGTTATTTTCTACTTTGCATTCTTCAGGGTGTGGACACCATAGAGTAAATGTGTAAGGCTTATATTTCATAATTTACTTCTTGAAGCATAGAAAACAATTTAATCATTGTGGTCAAACTACACTGGAAAAATCATTTTGGTAATCAATATTTTGTCCTTGTTTTCCAAAAAAAATAGTCAAAGAAAAACATTTTTTAAAAGT